GAAGGTCGTAGGATGCCTAGTAGGGCTCAATCAAGGGCAATGTAGCAGCAAGGAATCACTAAACCCGAATGAAGGCCGAACATGATGGTGGGACAAGAGGGAAGTAAAATATTCCTCCTGTCAGTTTGACCTAGCACCTCATCCTGGAGAGTCTCTCTTTACTCAGCTCACTGTACCCTGACGCCTTCTTGTAAACTGTTGTTAACAAATTGGGATCTGTCTTAACAATTAAGAACATCATGGACCAAAATGTGCCATAGCGATGGTACATTTTGCAGCGTTGACGGAAATTCAGTACAGCACCATGTCCTAGGTCAGTTATTCTAACAGTTTGCCTGCTGTATTTAAAATAACTATTTTCTGCTGGACTGTTCAAACAAAAGGATAACTAATTCTTTCTAAATCTCCTTTTGCACTTAGTTGAGATTTTAGTTATACCTTTTAACTGCTGATATTAGAAAAAAAATACTGTCTGGTCCTGGATAATCCTTACAATTGTTCTTATTTTTGAGCCTCTTGTTGCACCTTCCTCTCTTTCACTGCCCCTCCACTTTACCAAGCATGATATCCTTCTCCAGGGACTGGTTTCTCCTGAAGTAAAAAGTGGAAAGTACCTGAGACTTTGCCATTCTTCCCTCTGAGGAGCACTCTGGCCTACTTTTTCCAAGACAGACTTGTTTGTTCTTTTGGCAGTCCACACACTTTCAGCATGCTTCTCCTGCAACTTTCAATATGTTTCTCCAGCACAAATGTATCAATTCTTCTTTGGTCTTCCTTACTCAATATCCAACTTCCACATGCACATGAGGCAATTGAAAACACCACTGTCTGGGTCAGGCACACTTCAGCCCTTGACACAACATCCTTGCTTTTCAATACGCTGAAGAGGTCTGTGCAACAGATTGACCTAACACAAAGCATCTTTTGATTTCTTGACTGCTGCTTTCAAGAGCACTGACTGTGGATCCAAGCAAGGCAAAATCCTTGACAACTTCAACTTTTTCTCCATTTATCATGATGCTCCCTATCGGTCTAGTTGGGAGGAGTTTGGTCTTCCATTGAGTTGTAATCCTGACTGAAAGCTGAAATAGTTTATCTTAATCAGGAGATGCTTCAAGTCCTCCTCACTTTCAGGAAGCAAGGTTGTGTCATCTGCATATATCAGGTGGTTAATAAGCCCCAAAGCCCATCTGTAGGCAACTGGACATCCCCTTACAGAAGGGTTGCGGGGAGGAGACGAGCCAGTCAGGGTGCAGTATAACACTGATGAAACATACAACTTTCCTCTACTTCTTTAATGCTTCCTCTCCCCCACTATCATGATCCCAATTCTACCTTACAAATCCAGCTAGACCAGAGGATGTACACTAGTACAGATAAGAGGTGGAAACACAGGGAATCCAGGACAGATAAATCCCTCAGGGCCAATAATGAGAGTAATGATAACAAGAGGGGAAAGGGAAGGTAGGAGAGAAACGGGGGACCAATCACAATGATATCCATATAACCCCCTCCCAGGAGGACGGACAACAGAAAAGTGGGTGAAGGGAGACTTCAGTCAGTGTAAGACATGAAAAAATAATAACAATTTATAAATTATCAAGGGTTCGTGAGGGAGGGAGGGAAAAAAATGAGGAGCTGCTACCAAGGGCTCAAGTAGAAAAAATGTTTTCAGAATGATGAGGGCAACAAATGTACAAATGTGCTTGACACAATGGACGGTGTATTGATTGTGATAAGAGTTATACGAGCCCCCAATAAAATGATTTAAAGAGAAAAAAAAAAGCCTTCCTCCAATCCCGCTGCTGCACTTTGCTTCATATAATCCAGCTTCTCTGTCACTCACAGCTTTCTGTAAACCAGGTGTTCACAATTTAAACATCAATCCCATTCTCTCCTTTGAATTTGGATTTTACTATTCACACTCCTTGGATCACATAGGCTGGTGTGCTTCTTCCATGTGGACTTAGTTGACTCCTCATTTACATGGTTGCTTGTTTGAAGACAAGCCTTTTGACCCCTGACACTATTCTTTCTGAGAGTTGGGCACCATCTCTATTTTCTTCACCACACTTGGCTATAGCACCTAGCACCCATATCTTCAGTCATCTCTTCACGAGGGCATGCATTGCACAGGGTCATATCATAAGAATTAATTTTTCTTAGCTTGGGGCTAAATTTAAGTATGAGCCCCAAATCCATTCATTATCTATGGTTGATATATGTCTCTAGTTCACTTTAAAGACATCACTATCATTTTATGTTAAAGAACATTATCAATCCTCCTCCTCAGGCATCAGAAGGATAGTGTCATTAATTTAGGCTATGGTACAGAATTTAAAACACTGCTAGGAAACAGAAACTATACAAAGAGAGGCTAACTATGAATCTCAATACATGATTGTTGTCTTGTACAGATTAAATTCCTAAGTGATTGGACACTTTTTACACAAACATTGCGTGTTAATGATAGGGCAAAAAATTCATCCACAAAGACAGAATCAAGCCTACTAGATTAATATATGGCATAATAAAGCAAGGAAGGCATTAAAATAGTAAGTGTGAAAAAAAATAAAATAAAATAAAATAAAATAGTAAGTGTGTGGTAGTCTCAGGCCACCATTCACTGGGCACTCTCAAAGCAAGAGATCTAAACCAAAGTCCAATGATCAGCAGTTTTTTAACTTTTGGATAACAGTTATCTGCTTCCTCTCACACTAGGGAGTTTCAACCTTAGATTACATGACCTGGTAGCAGAAGCCTGCTTTCATATTGATGCTTATCCTTATAGTAGTGGATTCATACAATATTTGTCCTTTTGTGATTGACTAACTTCGCTCAGCACAATGGTTTCCAGGTCCCTCAATGTTAGGTGCTTCATCGCTGTTTTTAGGGATGGACAGTATTCTATTGGGTGTTTCTTTGTCCATTCTTCTGATGGGCATTTGGGCGGTTTTTAGCTTCTTGCTATTGTGAACTGTGCTGCAATGAACATGGAAGAACACATGTCTGCTCATGTATAGCTTGTATATACCTGTATATACTGTTCATTTATACTTGTATAGCTGAGATTTTCCACATTTTAATGCAGTTTTTGTGGTAAAATTAGGTGCTTCGGCTGATATTTGGGTTGGCTTATACTCGAGTATATACAGTATACCCAGTAAAGGAAATGCTGGGTCATATCGTATTTCTATTACCAGTTGTTTTAGGTATCTCCATATCAATATGCACAGTAGTTGTACCTATTTATGAGCCCAACAGTAGTGTATAAGAGTTTTTATCTCTTGGCACCCTCTTCAGCGTTTGTTGTTTTCTGTTTTTTAAACTGGGCTATCATTGTGGGTATAAGGTGATATCTTTGAATATCTTTGAATCTGCATATCCTGGATGGCTAATGATCGTGAACATTTCTTTATGTGCTTGTTAGGCATCCTTTTGAATTGTCTATTCATGTCCTTTGCCCAACTTTTAATTGGATTATTTTGTATTTTTTATGATTGAGGTATTGCAGAATTCCATTGATTTTAATAATTAGTTCCTTGTCTGTTGTATCACTACAAAAGATTTTTTTTGCCCAATCCATGGGCTCTCATTTTACTCTTATGATGAAGTCTTTTGATGTAGATAATTTTATTTTTAATAGTTCCCGGTCATCTATTTTGTCTTCCATTGTATATACTGCCTTTATTATATTTGCTACACTGTGTATGCCCTACAATGGGGCTCTCAAGTTATGCCAATTTTCTCACTGATGACCCTGATAGCTGTGGGGTTTACATTTAGGTCTCTGATCCATCTTGAGTTTGTTTTTGTGCAAGAGGTGAAGTATGGGTCCTGTTTCATTGTTTTGCACCTGGAGATCCAATTTTTCTAGCACTGTTAGTTTAAGAGTGTGTGCCTTTCCCACTTAATGTTCTTTGGTCATTTATCAGCAATCAGTTGTCTCTAGTTGGATGCTTTCATTTCTGGGTTGTTTTTTTGTGTTTTTTTTTTTCTGTGTTCCTTCACTCCACAAAGCAACAGCCAAATGGCAGTCAGCTGTGCCTGGGGAAGAAGAGCCAGGGAATTCTTTAGCACTACAGCGTAACCGAGAATGGGGAAAATGTCCATCCATTGGTTTAAATATAGTGCTGGTCATTTCTGGGTTTTCTATCCTGTTCCTTTGGTCTATGCATCTATCATTATTCCAGTAGCAAGCTGTTTTCATTACTGTGGCTACATAATGAATTTTGAGGAATTAGTTAATTATTTTAAAGCAAATGGTATAAAAGCTGTAATGGAGAAAGCTTTGACAAGGAAATGCTAAAGATATTAACTAAGGTAAATTTAAAGACTCAGATTCCAACTACTCACTCCACTCTTCCAATTACCCCACTTCCTTGCACTTCCTTGGCTAATCCCTGCCTCACATTATAATCCTCCACCCAAAAAAGGAGAAAAGGAAAATGAAAGATGAAAAAAGGAAACAAGATAAGTGAACTAAACACACACAACCAATTCCTGTACCTTATTTTCCCTATCCATTAGCATTATGATGGATAACACTGGATATCCACAAGAGTTATAAAACACATCTTTTTAATGTGGTCTGGCTACGACATTACTGCTCTATTTTGTTATGAACGTATTTTATTTATCCTGCCTGTATTGCTAGATTGTTAATTCACTACGTCAATTCATTTCCCAGCATTTATTCATTCTTTGCAAGTCAAGGTTCTTTATCAAGTGATTTACTACTCTAAGAAAAAACAGTTATTCTTAACAGTTTCTTTTGAAATTCCCTACTATGTCCTTCATGAAATTCTTTCCATTTAACTCAATTATCTAAATGCTTTAATTAAACATTTACTATGTACTTAAATACAAAACATTACATAAATTAACGACATGAAATTTCTTTATGTGAAGATTTGTCATGCACACCTAATAGAGACAAAACTTCTCCTTCCATTCTATCTTTTAAATATAACTAAAAAATGTTTTCAGTTTGAACTCACCCATCATGGCAACCAGCTGGACAATTTGAAAATTATGGCAATGGATCTCCCATCAGCATTCTCTGTTACCTTAGGGAGTAAAAAGATAAATTTATTACCAATAGTAAAGGAGGGAAGAAGTAGACATTAAAACAAAAAAGTAGGTAAGAATAACACTGATGACTAATATATAACATGATATTTTGCTAGGGGAAGTGTTTTATTTTTTTCCAGATATGCAACTAATGAGGATGAACTCAAGATCATTTTTATTTTATGGAAGTTTAATTCAGTCTTTTCCAGATTCCTACCTATCTAAGCAGCAGCAAATCAAATCCATTGTCATAAAGCTGATTCTAATTAATAGCTGCCTCATAAGACAGCTTAGAACTGAACAATAGGATTCTCATGGTTGTATATTTTCTACAGAAGCAGGCTGCCATATCTTTCCCCTACAAAGGGGCTGGTAGGTTTGAACCACCATTTTTGGTTAGCAATTAAGATCTTTAACCATTGTGCCACCAGGGTTCCTCTTGTGTATGTTAGAAGTTCTTAAGAGTCAAGAATCTTGCCAAAATCTTGCCAAAGTAATGCTCACCTTCCCAACACAATCACTGAAGACAAAATATATGCATAAGCTAATGTGGTGAAGAAAGCTGATGATGCCTGGGTATCACGAGATACACAGTGTCTGGGGTCTTAAAGGACTGATGTTTACATAAGCAGTCATCTAGCAGGGAAGCAACAAAGCCCACATGAAAGAAGCACACCAGCCTGTTTGATCATGAGGTGTCAAAAAACAAACAACCATCCCAATGTAAACAAAGGGGGTCAGAATAGAGACCCAAAGCCCATCTATAGACAAGTGGACATCCCCTCACAGAAGGGTCACAAGGAAAGGACAAGT